ACAAATGATTTACAGCTCTGCGTTGAATCTACACTGTAGGTAACACGTAGCCTCGTACCCTACGCTGTAGCCTGCCATGCACCTCTACGTAGTGGCAACAGACCATAACTGACTGGTTGCATTGCATTTCCTCCTTCATGTCTCTCAGTATCCAGACAAGTATGGAAGACACCCCCACATTTTGCCTCACCTGGTTCCCATGGTCATACAGACAATCTCCTCCAAGGTCTTCTCTCTTATCTGTGTTGCAGTAATTTCAGTAAAAAGTAACTGCTGTTCAACATCTATTTGTTTTAACTCCAACATGACCTGCTCAATTTTGGTCGCCATCATTAATAAGTAGTGAAGAAACACAACACAGTGGCATAAAACCATTGCTGCCAACTAGCGTCTTGGTGGTGTAATTGCAGGGCGATACAGACACCAGCACACAGGTATAAATTCTCACAATGGCGTAGGCCACTTGTTTAGTCTACAATGCAGGCTCTGCCTATATTAAATGCAGAGCTAAAAATAAAGCTTAAAAGTCCACGTCTATAGTCAAGCTGGCTACAAAATAAGGTCATCATGTGGCCGAAAGCACAATTTCACTGTCTGTGCTAAATGTTCAATGCGGCCTACTGTACAACCAGACCTGCAGTAGTTTGATGGTTTCTCCTCCTTTGCCGATGACCAAGCCAACTTTATTGGCGGGGATAAGGATCTGTTGGATGGAACTGTTGCCGTCCATGTCACTGTGGAAGCCTGGACCATACCGACACTGCTCCACAATCTCACTCAGCAGCCTCTTGGCCTGCCTTTGGAGGTGGAGAACAAAGCATTTGTCACCAGTCACAGATCCTACACAAAAACCTATGTTACATGTTAAAAGAGGTGCTCAGGTGATTCAATGGCTGATTAAGACATGAATAGAGATTTAAGGGGGGGGCTCAGGAGGTAGAGTGGGTCATCTCCTAATCCGAAGGTTGGCAGTTCAATTCCCGGCTTCTCCGGTCCACGTTGTTGAAGCATCCTTGGGCAAGACACTGAAACCCCAGTTGCTCCTAGTGATGTCCCCAGTGTGTGAATGTGCGAATGTGAATGAGTGAATGGCCAGATAGTGTGAAAGCGTTCCGAGTGTGTTGCAATGCATCAAAAAGCTCTATCCATATATGATGTTTATCAAAAATTGCAATTTTGGCCATTTAAAATTAAATTGCTGTAGCCATTATATATATTTTGCTATTTGAAACTAAATTTAAATTGAGACTCACTCAATGTTCTCTGGGGTCCCAGTCAGCGTGCAGGGTCTGTCCAACATGCCTCCACTCTCTGCAACAAAACTATTAACATTACTACAAGATAGAAACTTTTCATCTTAGTTTTTTTTTTTTTATCATGTTATACATTTTTACATTCAAGGTTATACATTTACATTTTTCTACATACGTTTCTTTCACAAAACCACAACAAAAAAAAAGCAGTGAATGCTTAACACACCAACCTATGGGACACACAACTGTGGTCAAACTTGCCTTGTGAAATCTAAACCGTGCAGCTACCAGAAAGGACAAACTCTTATCTACAAAACCGTACAGTTAAGAATGCCAACACTGTGCCAAAATGCTACATCTACAAGGCGTGGTGCAAGGCCACAACCCTATTTGCTCTAACAGTTAATTTTCCAAGCATTTTATATTTTTGAAATACAGTATATTTGTTAATCCTATGGAGTAACAAGAGCTGCAGGTTTAGGCCAGAAGGCCTGCACTCCAGGCAATGGTTGGCATGCACTATACAGTATGTTGCTGTGCATTTCTAGAGAAAGACCTACATACAGTAGTAGGAGGAGGAGGACTAATGGCTCATCAGCTTATGCCTCTCAGTTCCTACCAGCAGCAGTAAAAGGTGGGCTTAGATAACACGTTGAGTCAGAGCTTACCTGAAGCAATTTGGATCTTACAGCCCGATTCCAGTTGAATTCTCGAGATCTGCTCTCCTCCTTTTCCAATGACTATGAGGGGAGAGAAATAAAACCGGTTTGTGAATTTAGACAGGCCCCTAAGCGGTGACCCAAAAACTGAAGAATGTCAATACTGATAATTCCATATCAATAATAAAACTCAAGGGCTACTTACTGAATCCCACCATCTTGTCAGGCACTTTGAAGTCTTCTGTTGTGAGAGCCCTGTGAGAGATCAGATTGTGATCAAAGCCAATTGTGATCAAAAATAAAGCCACCTAAATCTAGGCTACCTTTTCTCTAAAATCAGCTTGTGCATCTAAAAACACAAATTTCAACGAAACAATCAGGGCTGGATTAATAATTACATTTCCGAGTTGACTCAAAATGATTTAATAGTTTGTTTTGCCCGACCAACATCCAGAGATATGGAGCTGACTACTACAGAAGACCAAAAATCTACTACTACTCTATTTTTGGCTGTTCCCTTTAGGGGTCGCCACAGTGAATCTGATTCGCATGAGTAAATATGGCAACTTTTTCTTCCTGCCCTTCCTGACACAACCCTCTATTTATCAGGGCTTGGGACCGGCACAGAGTCTCCAATCAACCTAAGCTGCATGTCTTTGCACTGTGGGAGGAAGCCGGAGCACCCGGAGAAAACCCACAGGTACAGGGAGAACATGCAAACTCCACTAAGAAAGGCTCGAACCCAGAACCTTCTTGCTGTGAGGCAACAGAGTTACAGACAACCAAAAATTAAGGCAAATATTCACATCTGAGAAACTGGAACGACTGAATTTAAAGCATTTTTGCTAAAAATAGCTTAAAAGAAGCTCCAGACATGTTTGATAGATATTTATTCAGGTACAATTTTGATAAGTTTGTTTTCATCACTTTTTGCAACTATTGAATATTAATGTGATCTCAAAACTACTTAACAGAGGCAGATTATGTAGTAAGAATATGCCTGAAATGAACAGAAAGAAAAATCTATGTTCTACCCACCTTTGATGTACCATGGCACCAAGGTGGTTCCCTACTGAGGGGGAAAAAAGAGGAAAGCAAACAATGAGAAATCATCAAGATCACAGCTAAAAATACATTTCTGCTAAAGTGATAACTTATGAAGTAGCAAAATGAGAAAGATTGAGTCAGTGCTGGAGGGGGTGGGAACAGATGGATACGGTCCTGCCAATCCTTTGTGCTCAGGTTTGACCCACAGCAGGGAGCCTGCAAGTGTATGAGTGAGTGTTTCAATCAGAGCCACTCTGAAAGACAGAGGCGGCAGTCGGGTCAGTGGCTGCTGGTCCTGAATTGAATTTTGACAGGTAGCACCGAGCATGGGTCCTGCAGGGTCAGTGGAGTATGTGCTGTCATGGACGTGAACAGCTGAGTTGATATCTAGCAGTTTCAATCAATTTTATGGCTGTTTGCACTGATTTCACTTCTTCTGGAAATGCACTGGGGTTAACGCTTGAGAATAGAAGAGCAATGAATATAAAAAAGGAGGTGTACCGAGTCTATTCAAGGACAAGGCTGCAACATGAAGTGTGAATGCCTGGAGTGTATTTGTATACAGACACAGCTGATAATTAAAAGCTGAGAGCGAACAGCAGTGCTGCACTGTTACCATTTGTTATTTCTGCCACATTACGAGACAACCTTGACTGAGAAAAATGAGGACAATTGTGCAAACAATAACAGCCCGTCAAACAAACCTAAAACAGAACTGCATACAATCTGTCCATCCATGCATTCAGGACTGAAATATCACACAAAAACCTGTGACAAGATAAGGAGGACAAGATAAAAGACTAGTATTTCCACTTCATGGATGTGAAATGGATCAAATCTTAGATTCGTGTGCAACAGAGAGGGGATGACACTGTTTAATTCACTGCAGTATCACATACTTAATACAAATCATGGCTCTCACTTCAAATTACACTGCTTCCCCGACATACCTCCATCTGTGAAGCACTGCATTGATTTTCAACTACACAAAAGTCCAGTAATGAAATTTCCAGTTAATTCATGAAGCACACACGTTGAGGCTGTTTCACATACTAGTAGAGTTTGACAGGGATGAAAGGCAAAGTTTCAAAGGGATTTTTTCTGGTTGATTTGCTCCCAGATAGCAACATTAAGTTTATTTCAACTTGGGTTCATATTTCAAGGGATGAGAATGATAAAATGTGTCCTGATAAGACAATATATTTTATTCACAAGAAGCCATAGGTTTCTCTTGCAGGGTACGTAATGGTACTGGAATTTAAGCTGCTTGGAAATTTTGCTTCAAAAACATTCATTCAGCCCTACTGATGGCTTACCTCCACTGTCGAGTGAACGTTTTTGGCCTCCAAAGCCATAGAGAGAGGCGTCTATGACTGGAGGGGAACTGTTCATGTTGGGCATCTGGTCTCCTCCCATCTTGGCTGCCATCTGCAGACACATCACAGTGGGACAGGTGGAATACTGGTGAAATGTGGGTAAGTGGTGCTATTCTTCCAACATACTTTCCAAAACACAAGTTGACAGAACCATCTGCTGTGTAGAGTGTTTTCTTTTTAGTCAGCAGAGAACTGCCTGTGTACAATATTCCAGCAGCATGAAGAAGCCTACAACAGTTCTTCATGAGAAGAACATGCACAAGGCAAACCTCAACTGACTGGATTTTATCAGTAGATGAGCTGCCTGAAAGTTACAACAGGTATGACAACTGCCTAAAACAGCAACACATGAAATACATTTAAAGCTCCTTATTAAAGCCCAACATGTAGGATGCCCATCTTCTATGAGTAAATAACATAGTAATTAATAAAGACTTAATTAGTTAATTAAAACAAACATGCCAGTTCTTGAACATATTCTGGTCTGACATCAATTTGATCATTTGATTGTGTTTTCAGAGCTGAGGAAGCAAGTCAAGTATGAAGCTCCAAGATATGACTACAGGGAGTGGACATAACCGCCTGCGAGACAGAATACAACTAAGACAGTCTCCCACCCACGAACCCTACCTTTATGAAGTTTATTTCATTTGAACAATTTGACAGTTTTACTGCAAGTACCCAAAGTACTGAGGCTCACCACCTATCTCTAGTCACATCATGTAATAAATACTGTACTATTAGACATTTACCAAAGGCATTTTTTTTTTCAGATTAAAGACAATAAATAGTGATTCAAAGTGTGCCGCTAGCTGCGGCACACAGCATCAAGATGTGGGCACTTATTTGCATCACAGCTTAGCTAAAAACCAATCCATGTCTATTTTCAAAATTGGCCACTTGCCGACCTAAGGTAGATGCTTGTGGTTCTGCAGTGATGGACATTTAAATCTTTAGCTGTGCTGCCAGAGAACGGTTAGAGCATTTTCCACTACCCGTTAATCTACCACCTCTCTTTCCATACAAAAATATAGCATTTCAGAAAATTACACTAAATTGACATCTGTGCCTGACTGGTATTTTTTTCTCTTCCCAATATGAACACATAGTGAGGGAAATTAGAGTCTTCCATCACCTTCAGGGATGATTATCTACTTCTGAGCCCACCAGTGAAGTGAGAGGGGGGGGGCAATGGAAATAAGGGGACAGAAAAGGAAGCATGTGTGGGGCTGACACTGCTGCAGCTAGGTACGTATCAAGAAACAGAAAAAAGCACTGCTGATGAAGGCGGTAAAAAAAAAAAATCTCTCCGAGTTTTGCTTCACTAGATTCAGACAGTGAGCTGAGCAGCAACTTCCTGATCACCTGCCTTTTTATAGCTGTGACCAACAGTTAATGTGAGGTATATCTGACACTGTTTTCACTGGCATATCGAGTTCAATATCCTACATTTGTTCAGAATATAAATTCTATTTTTAATTCATTTTAAATCAAAGAGGTGGAACTGAAGCCAATATCAGCAGGGACAGTTTGCCATAAAACTAAAGCATCCATCAAGGTTTAGCATGTGTCAGACCCAACAAACAGATACAGCTCAGGAAGGAGCACCGACTACTGGAATGTACATTCACAATTAACGGATTAGATTTAAGAGCACATCTCATTTCAGCCTTCCATCCCCATTAAAACACTATTTTCTCAACCCAAAACAGACTCCAGAGTGGCTGAATCTTAAAATACTGGCTTGGTGTTTTTAACAAAATGTCAGCTGCCCAGTAGGGGCTGTGAGGCAGCAAAGTAAAGAAGTAGTTCTCTGCGATTGATCATTTTAAATGTCACTACAGCCGAACACACAGAACATCTGATGACATTTACCTGGATTTATGTCGACTTTGTCAGACAATGCCATGATTATAAAATAATTTTATTAACAGCAGCAGCTTGAAAATGAGTGTTGTTACTGTTAGGCAGTTATTAGCTTCAATTAAAAATAACAATTTCAGATTAATTTCATTGCCAGACAACAAAAACAGAAAAACACAAGAGATCACCGAGAGCAGGAGAGGGTGTTGCCTGAGCCAATAGACCAACTGGGCTCCGTTTATCCCACTCTTTATCAGATGTTGGCTATGATGCACAATTTTATTGTTTGACAAATAAAAAAAAGGACAAAGAAGATTTTAATTTTTCTATTGTTTGGGTGTTTTAAAATGGGCAGGAGGTCTTTACAAAAACCACCTATAAACATCAATGTGGACAACTTTAAAAGTTACACAGCTTAGTGTTTACATAATCTAAAAGGCAATGAGAAGTGAAATATGCTTGATTCACATCAATTACACCTTTTTTTTATAAAATAAATTGAGTTTAAATAAAAAATGAAATCTCCACACTAGCTTAGCTGATCAAAGCACCTAAAATAAATATGTAAAACCAAATTTAACTTGTCAGATTCTAATTTACCTGCCAGTATCACACAATCAAATGTGCATCTGCAAGCACAAAAACATATGCTACTCATTTTGCAGTGGGTCAGTGGAGTTTTACAGTCATGCAGTCTGATGTTTGTAGTAATAAACTGTCTGTCCTGTAGTGAACCCTCAATATCTACTGAGGCTTCTGGGCAAACACCACTGCGGATGGACGGGCCTCCAAGCTATAGTCGCATCTTGACTGAAATCTTTGCTGAGCAAATGTGAAAAAAAAAAAAAACTAGTCAGATTTTATACTTTAAGTCTGAAAAATATGCACAAAAGATGTGACATGTAGTGACTCCAAAACAAAACTATGTATAGTTTATATTTACATTTCACACCTTGTCCATTGGTGACTGCAGCATGATTGCTTTGCCAGTAATCTACACTAGTTGTGAGTCTGACTTCTACTCGATTATGTTTTACAAGAAATTGTGTGTTGCTTGTTTTGTTGGTTTATTGTAGATTAATGTTAATGGTCATGTTTGCGATCCAGATGGGTACATTTAGTGACACTGAGATACTGGCAATTTGAAAACAGTAACTGAGTAGAGGGGGACAAGCACAAGGAGGCGGAATGCAATAATAATTAGCCAACAGGAGGCCTAATGCAGCAGTCAGCATCTAGTGAATTAATGAACTGTTTGGCTCTGATAATTGTTTTAAAAAACAGAGCAGTTAAAATGACTGGTACTAGTAACCAATTTCGGTTTGTGCTGGTGACTGCTACAACTGCATCTGTGGAAATGAACACCTTCCACCTCTCATCACAAGTCACATTGATGTCAAATTGATGGGATAGTTTTTGTTTTGGTCAAATCTGAGACCTTAGGTGTGAGCATAGACAAGAGAGACACTGATGGGAAAGTGACAAGGACCAGCCATGTCATTTGCTCATCAGGGTGTATTGCTGATTATATGCATTAAACTACAACTGTATGCATTTTGCAAATCTCTTATTATATAGGATACAAAAAACATGCAGCAATCCACTGTTTATACCCAAGTTATAATCTACACTGGGGAAGCTAAACTAGTGGGATGACTAAAGTCCAACTTGCACACTATTAACTGCTGGAAGAAGGGTTCTAACCTTCTATTACAGCAAATAAACAGCTTTACTTTTGAACAACTTAATGGCAGCACAATTACAGGGACCACCTCTCCTACAATCACTATCTGACACTAGGAAACAGAATAAAGTAGTGAGCAGTATAATGCAGGCCGTATTTTTCAAAGTACTTTCAGCTGTTTTGCAAACAGCAATGGAAAAATCCAAATGTGCTTAACTGAAGGTGCGAAGGGGGGCTTATTTGAACAGATGACGTTACATTACATGGCCTAACTCCAGCTGCCTCTTCGAGCACACCGTACCACATAGGCTAGCATGCTAACACAAGCTAAACTAGCTTTCTGGTTTATTTAATGTGTAACCTGTACTTCCTGTTTTATAATGCAAATTTCGCGTCAAGTTAAAAAAGGGAAACGGGGCATTAAAACGTTAATACTGCATGTGGTTACCGACTAATCTCTCAGTGTCTTTATTTAACTGGGGCAACAACCAGTTTTACTAAAGCTAACTTCAAACCTAGCAAGCTAACTTTATGACAGCGTCTCATACTGGTCGGTTGTTCATTCGTGTAAACTAAATGTTAGGATCAGTTACGTCGTGGGTCAGACTGCGGGCATTATAACTTGTGTTAAGTTTGCAAGCTAGATAACTACAACTTCTGTGACTTGACAACAGGTTGCAGTGTGTAGACTTAACTTACTAAAGTTGCACAAACTTCGACAACATAAAAGGTGCTTGACACTTGACTTGTCCGGTCATTTTAAGGGTTGTGAAACTGTTAGATAACGCATTTTGCGCCCGTGTAAATTCTAATCTGTCTGCTCAGCGACGCTGTCTCGACTATTTGACGTTAGCCTGCTAGCTTACTGGCTGCATGAGTGTTTGTAGTAGAGGGTCTGGGGTGCCCTGTTCACAGTTTGACATGCAAACACGCTACTTGTGGTCCGAAAGCATCACACGTATCTTCGCTCTGAACGTTTTACCTGTCGGACCCGGCGTATCGTGTCTGTGAAGTCATCTTTCGTTCCGGGCTGAGCCACCGAGGCCTGTCCCTGAACCAGCTCCGCCATCATACTCATCCGCCTCGGCAGCTATATGCCACACTTAAAAAAAAAACAGAGCAGCACACGTGCTAAGGCAAAGCTCCGGGACCTCATGATATCGCGAGATGATCAAAACCACATACAAGTTTACTTGATTAGCTTTTAATTCAAAGTGGTTTCATACGAAGGCATTAAGTCAATAAACGAAATAAATTATCAAGCCACCAAAATGAAAGTAAAAGAACAGAAACCTAAAGGAAATTAAAACGTTAAGAGCAGAAGTATAAATAAAAGAAAGAAGAGCAAGATAATGGCCCGATATTTTAGGTTCAGTTAAAGGCAGTGCAAAACAAAGTTTAAATTAAACATTAAAATTTCAATATGAGTTTTGCTGTTTATAGTTCCAACAGTTCAGTCTGTTTCGTTAAAAAAATCAGACACATCGAAATGAAATTTAAAGAATATTGGTTTTCTCCTTTGCTGCACATGTGGAAACATCTATAGATGCACATCTGGAAATGCCAACAGCCAGAGAGAAGAAAGCAAAATTGCTGCAAATTCCCAAACTGTTTATGTAAAACAGTTCCTGCTCCATAAATTGTATCCAAACTACAATGAGCAAAGAGGACCAGTAAAGGCTAAAATGAAATGATGGTCCTGCAGAGATAGACACATTTTAGGGTGATTCAAGCTTTTGTTTCTGAGATGAAGCCTTTCTTCAAAATAATTACAATAGAATAAATTTCTTAACAATGTGTCAAGCTCAAATCTGTCAGTTTTCTCATCTTATGGTCAAACGTGTGAATCTAGGACATAAACATTAATGTTAGAGGAAATGCATCAGCCTTATGTTTGTAATATGTTTACTAAGATATATGCTGTTTCTAAACACTTAAATAACAATTTCTCTCTATGGTTACTCATATACAACATGCTCAGGCAGCTGCTTGAACAGAGATGATTGACCTCGAAACTGAGACAAGCGGATTGGTGTTCTGTGTCTTACAGACAGCCGTACAGATATCAATTTCCCTTCCCTGTCAGCCCCTGGGCATGCTATAACCACACAAAAAAAAAAAAAGATGGAGAGAAATTAAGTTGGAACTGCGCTTTGTTTCCAGACCAGCATCCATAAATAAAGACCTCCAATTTACCATGAGTGAAGTCTGATCCTGGCCCTGCTAAACATATTGCTACCATGTGCTGTCCAATGCATTCAAAGTTGGAGGTGGCTGAGAAGTGATTTTAGATCTCTGGTATCAAAGGGTAAGTCAGGTGGTAGTTGTCATATACAGCCAGATGATGCATACATAAACAAAGACACAAGAACACACACATACAATTATTATGGATTCAGTCCCCATCTGCTCAAACAACCTAAAAAGTAAGGGCAGTTAAAGCAGGTGTGGGTCTCTGGAGTTTTGCCAGTCAAGCAGTGGGAATTGAGTCAGTATAGTCCAAGTGTGTGTTTGTGCATGTGTCGAGTTGTGGTTACCATAGCAGGCTGATCAGGTGTCATTCTCACACACACACACACACACACACACAGTTTCCTCCTTGTCATTGTCTTGCAGAGAATAGTCTCTTTTTTCCAGAGTTCATTGTGTTACAGTTGCTCGTCAACTGAACACGAATTGAACACATGAGCTTGAGTTCAGCAACCCTTTGGTCTCTCATTAATATAAAGTTCAAGAAATTATCAATGTGTGCCAAGTAATTGATCAATTTTCATTTCAATGCAGTGAAAATGTGATGTCCAGCTGGATGACAGCATTTTGCAAAAGGAACACCAATACTGGCACACTTACTTTTTTTAAGTGCTGAGCTTTTACCTCCTCCTCCTTTCTCCTCCTCAATCTCAAAAGAAAAGGCAATGTGAAACTGTAATTGCTATATAATTGCCATGGTTTTGCTATGGGCATAAATTTCTAAAGACAGGATACAAGAAACGGATAGTGTTTCATCCAGAGACCTCTGAGGAACCTGGCACAGTTTCATTCAGGAACGCCTTGTTCATAAAGAAGGAAACTGTATTAAAAGATAGTGGCTCTAATGTGTCTTCATATTTAAAAAATACAATGAACAAAATATGAGTCAAATCTGTAGTAGCCCATCTTTTAAGCTATTTCTAAAACACTTTTATTAGATTGCCTTTTCTGACATTTTAATTATGTTTCATCACTTTAATGTTCTATTGTTTAAATCTGTGGTCTATTAAAAATGTTCTTGCAATTTTAGCAAAACAATACTTAAGCACTGTATAGCATAGTTGGATGAGCAATAGACAATTAAGGATCAAAATCACTGCAGCAGAACCAGAAATGCCAACTATTTTATTTCTTCCTTGCCAAAACCTGCTGTCTTCATTACTCACAATGCATCTCAATTCAACCCTCCTGATGCTACCTCAAATTACATCACTTGAGGCAATTTATCAGACTTTGTGCAACTCCATCTGGAGCCACAAAAGGCTATACACAACTTTTTGTTCAGATATGCAGTAGCCTAGTATACCTTGAAACTTAAAAATGGATTTGATGTGTGATGGAGTTTCTTTAAACACTTTGTAATTTTGTTTAAAAAAGTACCATATAAGTTATTCATAAGTCTGAACTAAATCTTGGGCACAACTTGTTATTAGATTAGATTAGATTCAACTTTATTGTCATTACACATGTACAAGTACAAGGCAACGAAATACAGTACATATGGTTGATATACTGAAAATAAAATAAAACTAAAATTATAATTTTTTCTAAGTTATATTTATTATCAGAATGTTTGCTTCAATTAAAGCAGATTAATATAAAAGCTTTAATAATTCATTTTGAGTCTGTCTGTTGAATATAAATGTAAAATATAAAAACTATTATGTACTTTTAAGCTAATTGTAAGCGATCTATTGCCAACATTTGAAAAATCACTGACTGAAAAAGCAAAACAAAAAAGAGGAAAAATAAAACGTATAAAAAAACAAATATTTTGTGGCTGTGAGTAAAAAGAACAGGAAGCAGGAAAGTCATGGGGGTTGAAGGTAAAAGACTAATGCAGAAAAAGAAAACTCCTACAGGTAACATCCTGTCCTTAAAGCGAAGTGTGACAGATGAAAAGAAAAAGCAGACTAGCTTTGTCCAATAATAGCAGACAAACACTTCTACCTCCTCATTTTTACATCTCTTCCATTTTACTTTTCAGCCTCTTCCTCCACAAACCACTTTGCTTTGATTCAGCTCTGTATCTGTATTGTCAATGATTCAATTACATGGGATCCTGTGGTGAAAATTAGGGATGTTTTCCATTATTTCTCTCCTCTGGGATACTATGACCCCTCCCTGGCTCCAATAACTGCCACCTCCTCTTTTCTCCATTCCTTTCACAGGGCCTCTATCTCCACCTGTCCCTCTTTCCTCTACTCCCACAGTCACCCATTTTTCTTGATAAATGTTCGCTTTGCTGTGTGTATCTGCGACTGAGAGGAAATAATAGCTAAATGGTCTTGTTTGTGAGCATAGTGAGCTGACAAAGAATGTTTTGCAGGTAATTCTTCTGCTGTCACCACACAGGCAGTGTTCAAATCCAAACACCAGGCGTGACAGAAATAAAAGCATATCAGCAGGCAGAGTTGAAGAGATGGACAGAATGTTTTTTTTTTATTCAACCAAAGCAAAGGCAGACTTGTGATTCTTTTGAGCAATTTAAACCCACATCTTATGGGGGTATGAGTCATTCTTAAGAGTGGAATCTATCTTTGATGTACTGTTAGTGTTGAATCTACTTTCAAGATAAAATCCTCACCTACTGCTGTGTCTCTCATAGTCAGTGAGGTGCAAAGCAGCGCATAATGCTCAGCCAGAGTATAGGGCCGGATCAGCTTCAAGGTGACAATACATCACCAAGTCCCATGAAGCAAAACATGGTTTCAGCATCTGATGCATGCAAAAAGAGTAGAGAGCTTACAGGCCTGTTGAACAAACACTTGGTAAGCATTATGTTCTGATGTTTAGGATCCAAAACTAAAGAGTGGTACAGAGTATCACTGCGCTAAGATGACTTAAAACTGCTAAAACAGACGTTCCTTTCTCTGTGAACCTTTCTGTGACATGTGCATTGTTGTTGTCTAAACATTTTGGTTTTTTCTTATTAAAATCAGCGTACAGATCTTATAAGATCTAGCAGATATGAATGGTTGTGCCAACAGATATTGCCTGGAAAACCAACTTGACAAAACCAGGAAAGACTTTTGTAAAAACAATAAACTGTCACTTAGTGCTTTTTATTCAAACAAAAATCTGAAATACTGACTAACATATCTACTGAGAATATCAACAGTAATTAAAGCTATTTGTTGGTTTTACTTCTGCTGCAGCAAAAATAAAGCTTTCTTTCCATTGACCATATTTACTGCATAGGACTAAGCTACTGTATATACTGTCAATGTGTAAACTTGTGTAGTTCATATGTGAAGTCTCCTTCACATGGGTGGGGGACTGCAGTAAGAGTGAATTCATGTTACAAGGCAGGAATGGGGTAAGAAAAATTAAGGACAGATGGTTTTCTTGTGAGGACACAATATATAAGGTGTATGTGGCTTTATTATATAGTCTTGCTGCATCTACACAGTATATACCACAAGTGTGCAGTGTACAGTATAAGTGCAGTCTGTGTAAAGGATATAGCAAAAGCAATAACAATATGATCTAAAAAGAATCATGGAAAAAACTTGAGCATGAACTAGATTTTCATAACATATTTGCTAATCTCAATAATGAAGGCCAGTTAAACACCCAACCCAAACAGCCTGCATACCCTGTGGTGTAATTCAGGCAGCATCGGAAAACATTACATTATCGTCCATCATAACACACGCCATTACAACCAAATAACCACTGCCATTAAACATTTAGATTGTCCAAGGGATTCACTGAAAATGAGGCAGACAAACCTACCAGGGATATCAGCCTTGAATCTGTTAGAGCCCCTCATCCATTCTGAGCAGAGCAACAGATCGAAGAACAGCAAACAAACCCCACCAGTAGACCCCAGGGAGAAGAGGGGAAGGGGGGAGTCCCTTTCAGATGAAGAAAATAAATCTATTGATTTGAGATCAACATGCTGCAAC